TGAAGGCCTTTGTGTCGGCTGTGGCATGCTGTCAGCTTCGACTGCCTGCACAACGCTTGCAGCATCAAGGTGTGCAGCTGCACAGGCCAAATATCTACTTCAAGCTCAGACCACCTCTGTGTCTAGGGTCCAACCACTGCTGGTACTACTACCGATGGCACTACCACCGCTCCGAAAGACGACTACTGCTTCTGCTAATGCTGCTGCTAGAACATCCTCCCGCCATGCCTGGATGAGACTCCGACAATGAGAAGACGAGGCGAGGACCGTAATTCTTCAGGAAGAAGATGGAACTGACTACAATGCCGTTAGTTAGTTCACCAAGAACGGCTTAAACCATGCAGTCCTAGAGTCACAACAGGCGATACCCTGCACCCCCAAAACCCCTGTCAAAGAAGGCCGGATTTGCAACCACATGTATTGTCTCCACTCTTGCCTGGACTTCCCCAAGAGGTTCCGCTCCTGGCCGACCTGGGTCATCTCTTCTCTGTGGCTCTACCGTCATCATGATGTTATGCCAGCTGTGCCGTTATGTAGCTTAGTTTCTTGCTTTGTGGATTACATTCTTTGGGGTAGCGTCGCATCATGGAAAGACATAGCAAATGACGGCGTAACCAGTCAGCCATGCAGGTCTACAACAACTGCCGCATGACTGGTTTCGAGGAAATCATAGCAATCAGCCTGTTTTGCACTGCAAGGAATTGCTGGGTTGAGGCATGTAGGGCAGGTCCCGTTTATGAGGAAAGATCGAACTGGCAGTCATAACGTGTGCGATCAACGGTCACATGTCAAACATCTCACTGCTGCCCAAAGCCTGCCATCCTCAATGTGGACGCTACATTTTCGATGTTACGAGTTACGAAGTCGTGTTTCGCTCTCCGCGAGGCTGGGGGATCAACACGTGTTGTGTCTTCCGGGTTGGAATGTGCTGTCCGCATCGCAACAACAGACCCTCCAAGCAAATCTGTGACTGACTATGCCAAGTATCCGTGACAGTGAATCAACAGAGATGCATGCTGACAACTGCCATTGCGGCAGAGACCATAAAGAAACCCCATAGTTGGCGAAGGAGCGAAGGTTTCCATGCGCGCACAACACAGTGGCAAGTGGAAGTGTACGCTGCGCATGCTGCGCCATAGTCCTCGCGCTCAAGCTGATGGCGCGAATAGGAGTTTTCAAGCCAACTTGGACCTATGAAGGCTCAGAAGGGAATGAAGGCAAGATCACATACACATATAGAAACGTACACATACATACATACAGACAGACAGACAGACAGACAGAGAGACAGACAGGCAGACAGGCAGACA